AAAAAGCACTGATCAAAGAGGCAGCTTTGAACCATGGCATGTTTATCAAAATATCTTGACATTGGCCAGCTAAATATGATGATAAAAGGAATGTTACGGTCGCTTGATGAGAGTTTGCTTTTAAGCATTTCTTTATCTATATTTGTCATTTGACAATCAAAGACTGTTTAAGTAGCGTGCAGAAACCCCGTTAAAACTCTTCCATTACATAGAGTTAGCCTTTTATTACAGTTGTTCTACAGCTAGGTTAAAATAGAGCTTTGATCATTGTTGACTGACACGAATAGGTTGTATAAAATTTCAAGAATATCCAATGTTTAAAAAAAGACTTAAAGAGGGATATGTGTGAGAAAACAATAAAAGAGAGAGCCTTGCAATTCGAAATATACAATCTGCAAGCAAAAGCAAAATAGTTCCAAAGGCATTTGCATAATTGTTCTTTGCCTCATTCTAAGCTATTTAAAAGTTATAAACGGAGAAAAATGTGAAAGTGAATTCAATTTGCAATTTTCTTCAAGAACAATAACAAGAATCCAAGTAAAACACGCACATTGAAGGACACCAGAAGGACACGCACAAGCAGAACGTTTCAATGAGAAAAGCAATATATGACATGAAGTTGTACTCGTATTTTAACAATAATTTCCTTTTGATAGAATTTTATAAATTTTCCACACGTCTATTTCACACATTTTCTTTCAAACCCTGTATAGCATTATTACATATATAATCGTAAAATAAATGTGGTCATACTTCTACAATTATGTTTTAATAGGTAAAAAAGTTTAATTAAGATGATAGTGTAAATTTTTTTATAGAATTGTTGTACCGATTGTAAAAATTTTAAACTGACACATTTTTTAAATTGGACAATTTAATTATAGTGATGAATGGAATGATAAATATCCGTACTTTCTAAAACTGTGATCAGATAAAGTAATTTCATTGTGACTAAAATGGAACGCTGAAGTTTACAAAACAATAATTACCTGTCAATCGACAAAAAGGTGTTTAATGAGTCAACATACATTAGTGTCATGTTTATATATTTAGAATCTTATCTGTCAGTAAAGTTGTAATGGGAGGTTTCGGACGATAGTAACGTGTCATGTTTCTATATATATATAACTTGCAATTAATGTTTATTACTTCTGTGTAATATTTGTTTAGTTTGGTTTAAATAATTCTTTTACAAGTAGAACAGCAATGCCGCAATTAATGTAAGCGCAGTAAGTCTAGTATGTCCAAAAGTGCATGAAGTAAGTGCAACAAGTCTGTGATCGCAACGGACAAAGAAAGTTTATAACCAATATTAAAACATCGACAACATTATTACAACCTCAACACACGACAAGCACCGGGGCAGCAGTATTAGATAATGTCACTTTATTGCAGAACGAAATAACCGTCAAAGATTCCATCAAACTAAAGCTGCATATTGTTTTCAATTGTTCGTATTGGGTATTGTTCGGGGATTACCTTTTCTCACATTGGTGTACAACCTTAAGTTGCAACCATTTTAGTTTGATAAAACAAGTATTATGCATGCATATACTCCATTTAAAAAAAGTTATTTAGTGCTTTTCAAGTATGATGTAGAAATGTACAAATTTAGTTATTCTTATATCTTTTATTTCTTATTATAGTCAATTACAAAATCATTTTACTTAAAAAAACAGATATTCAAACTTCATTTGCATCTATTCAAGTTATAATGAAGAAATACATTCGTATCGACAGACATTATATTGCAACTATCAAATAATTCCTAAACAGTTTAAGGAGAAATCTCTGGGAATTGTAATACAATAAACCATCCGTAATTAAATAGATTTTCTTTCTCATAAAGTCTTATACTTTTTTCTTCCTTAATCATTTTGAATTTATGGATCATAAAATAACGAATTTTCATGTTTTCCAACTATCTCAGATGCAAATTCTGACATTTTTATGCACATTTCATTGAAGCATCAAACTGTTGATCAGGAAATAGTTTCGTATTGCCTGAAATAATGTATTGCTATCACTGTAAATACGCTTATTTTAAGCAAACGTTTTTTCTATAACGTATTTTTCTATTTCAAACTAACACGTGCAAAAATAAATAAATAAATAGATAAATAAATAAATAAATAATGATAATAATAATGATAAAATATTAATTAGCAGTCAACCTTTAAAATCCTGTTTAGAACAAAGCATATTAGTTATATCTGTTAAAAGTAATCGTAGCTAAAATTGCATTTCAATTAATTGGTTTTACACAAACACAACTGCAAAAGGCATATACATAGACAAATATCAAACTCTTAATATATTGTGTTCTTTGGGCTTATTTGATACATGATAAAATGATAAAATGATGTTTAAATGGAACGTTAATATTAATCCACATATAATTCGTGGTACTCGGTTCCATTGGTAATGTATTGTGCAGGATGTACAATATAACATTGTCCTATAACTTTCATTTGATTTAAAACATGACTGTTATTTGCCAACAATGACCTTATATACATGTAGTTAAAAAATCATGTATATACGCATTCTCATATATGTATACGCATTCTTTCTGCACAAAACCAAATATCATTTTTGATGTTAACTGCTGACTAAAGGTACAGATTTTAATGAAGTTTGTGGTCATGCAAGTAAAAATATAATTGTATACTTTCGGGCAATACTTGTTAATGATTGTTGCATTCTGCGGAGAGAATATGTCTTTCTAAAAGCATAAAGGTCTACACCAACAATACTGTAGATGAAGACTTTCTTTGAAGAATACTTTACTCAATTTATAGTAGCAAATGCATTAGCATCATCAAGGAAATACATTTTACAACACCATTTTAGAAAAAGATTTTTATATTTAAGTTGTGTGATGTTTTTCCACTAAAAGATAGCGGCTGTCAATTACAGTGTGTTTTTAGAGAACTCGCATTTTATATAACGTAAATTGCGCACTGTTTAAAAAAAACACTTACACATTAACTTCTTAATTTGATATAAACTGTAACTCACTTACGTATTTTAGAGAATATTTGATTGATGTTCTCTTTCATTTTATAAATGCACTACATGCAAGCATTTCAAAGAGTTGACTCAATTGCATTATTGGCAAATGTAAGATAAAATTATAAAACCGATCCTTCACGGAATTATGTCATTATGGCGTTTTATTTTCCAGGGAAAATGTAAATACTTTCGAATGATGTACGTGAAAAGAAATCGTAATGACATAGTTTGAGAAAATCGGATGATGAGGATTAGGTCATTACTTTTCTATTTCCGGATGAAAGTCTTTTTATTGCAACATATTGTATTCCTGTTTCTTTGAAGTTAAAACTTGGCTGAAAAGACCTTCGCTAGATTTTACTAACTAAAATCTCGATCGACTTCGTTTAGTTCCTGACATTGACAATGCATGATTCTCGTGTATATTTTGGTTGTCAAAAAAATAAGAACAGTATACCAAATCATTCTCTAACTGCTACATACCGGACGAAATTTGTCCCAGTGACCTTGAAATTTACTGACCTCCAAATCAACTGAAAGGTGAAATACTGGCCAAAACAAAAATAAAAGTGAAATGTTAAGAACTCTAAGCCAATAGTGTTAAGAATTCAGCGATTTTGGACCAATCATGTAGGGGTCATTCTTATTCTTTTAAGAACTATTATTTTGTTTTGTTCAAGTCTTTACACTTAACCAACTAATATTGCTTGAAAAAATATTTGTCATTTAAACGTATTGAACATGTTTTAGATAGTTTTTATATGACTTTTACATGATTTTACATTGCTGACAAGTATCCCTCAGGTTCTTACATTTTGGTTCACATTCAAAATGAACGACGTGATATATAACATCTTTGATAAAATCACTTCAATACAATTTAGAATTCTTTCAGTCTTAATATTCCCCAATGTTACAATTGTCATAATCAACAAAAATAAAGACCCGTCCAGTGAAGAAGTATCTTTAATAAATTAAATGTTTTTAAATTGTGAAACATACGTGATACCTAACTGTCATTAAGCATCTTTTAACAAAACGGTAGCTTGTGTGGCGGCAAGGTATTTAGTATTCATTCATTTATTTAATTTGTTTTTCAAATGTGTACACATTAAGTATACTATGTTTAGTTCTGAATGGTACTGCACTAAGGATACAGGTAATCTCAATGGAAAACAAAACGAACAATGAAATATTCCTTGCCAAAACTTTTCTGTCAGAGAAATGCATTAACTGTCAAATAACCAAACCTAACGCTTTTGCGTCACTAAAAGCATTAAAATGCAAGGAATTTGCTATGTATGTATAATATATTGTATCATGTGACACAGTTTAAGTCAAGAACTTAGATATTTCATAAGTAATGCAATATCATTATTATATTATGTAAATCAAATGTAGTTTATATTATCATTAGTAAAAAATTCATAATTATTATAATTCAGCTGTCGCATATCAGAGAGCCAGAGTAATTCAAATGTATTGAAATAGAAGTATGATTTATAACCAAAGGGAAATCTTGTAAACAACATAAACGACTACATTTGCTTGAAAAAAAATAGTCACTGGATCTATATAATATAGTAGTTGAAAGGGGCAATATATTTCGTCGTGAATAGTATTAAATTATATATGTTGAAAAGTGACAAGAAGCAGTGAAGCAATAGAACCAATTTACACATAAAAGGTGATTAGTTTTTCTCTCTTCTCTTCGATGAAACATTGCTTTGAAATCGATATGTGCAAATTACTTGTTGTTAAAGTCAATTCATGTTGTCCTTTGAAGACATTAGCACATAGGAGATGATTTCGACGGTCATATTGACAAACTATTTTCATGTAAATTTTGTAATAAGTAATGGCCTTAAGAATAAATGCATAACATAACTGCTGACATGTGTTTATATGACACAGAATAATTCTCAATTAAAAGACACAAAAAAAATATTATAGTCATAAATAATAAATAAAACTTAGTCACTCACCTGGTATAAGAGAATGTTTGATGGACGGCAAATGGAACCATTGGCTAATTTTGATAACTCTATCATGGCGTGTTTATTCGGAGACGATCTGAAAATGAAAAATTTTCTCAAAGCACACTTTTTAAAGTATAACACGTGTAATAACAATATAACAACTTCTAGTATTATTATATTAGTGGAACTATCACAAGTGTCATATCCAGAATGTTGCGTACGTGAAGTATGTTTTAGAAATAACATATAATAACATTATAAATTAAGTTATACAAAAACACTATAATTTTGCGAGACCTTCACTGGTTAACTGACCGTACTATAGATCGGTATTATGTACAGAAACAACAAAACATTATGGTCTCGCTGATAGTTTTGGCACAGATCCTGAACTAATTTGGTTATTGATAGAATGTTGATGTTTGAATTAAATTAAGTTGATTCACATATTTTTAAACCTTTCATGATTTTTAAATTTTTTATTCATTTTAAGATTCCTAAACAAACTTGGTATTGTACCAAACCATCATTTTTCTTGATATGTTTATTGTCAAGAAAGCGTTATACATATGTATTTACGATGTTGTACTAGTGTGTCATGTCTAGATTATCGTGATAATCTCTTCGTAAAATATTTTTAAAAATTATGTAAGAACAAAAGTCCATATTGTAATTAAAAGTACTTGAAATTTCGCAACAGCCTTAATATGACGTCATTTGTTTTGTTTTGCAAGCTAAATAAACGATATTTTTAACGAAGCGAAGTTACGGCTGCTGCAATGATCAGTCTCTCTTTGAATAATTCAAATACGTGCAAACAACGTTTTGCCAAATGAAAGCCAAAATACTAACCAAAAACATACTAAATGTCAATGATATTATAAAACAAAATAGTAGCCATTGGAGGTTATAAAAGTCAAAGATGGGAGTTGATATCAAACGACATCGAATAAAATGCAAAAAGATCAAAACAGTCTAAACAAGCAAATTCGTTGAATTTATATCCCCCGCCGAGTACTGGTTATTATTAACACAACAACTGAAGACCTAAGGCTTTATTTATATATTAATCATGGCATAAACTGTAACATTCTTTGAACTTGAAGCCTTGTACCTTCAAACAAGAAGAAGTTTTCACTATATACATATAAGGAAAATCTATGACCCCCTGGAGTGGGGCCAATTTTGACCCCAGGGCTAAAATTTGAACAATTTTGGTAGAGGACCTATAGGTTATATCATATACCAAATATCAAAGCTCTAGGCCTTGTACTTTCAGACAAGATTTTTTAATTTTGCATTTTTGAAACTCCTTTTCTGGCCCTGTGACCTACTTATGCAACAGACCGGATCCATTTGATCAAATTTGGCAGGGGACCACCCTAGGATCATTCCTGTAAAGTTTGGTTGCTGTGCAGTCATTTGTTTCTGAGGAGATGTTGTTTAAAGAAATTGCTGACGACGCACGACGACGGACGGTGGGGGATCACAATAGCTCACCTAGATGTAAAAACATCTTAATCTCCAGACTTCATTGCCATTTTCAAGGCATCAAGAAGGGATCTCACAATTTTCAAATAAGTTGAAAATTGCAAAATTTTACTAAGTCAAGGGCAATAACTCTAAAAATAGTAAAAATATCCGGACGAAAATACCCAGGTGCACAACTACACATACTGATCAACATTCCTGTAAAGTTGCATGACTCTAGGTCAAATACTTTTTGAGTTACATGCGACACAAGTTGAAAATTACAAAATTTTACTAAGTCAAGGGCAATAACTCTTAAAATACTAAAAATATCCAGATGAAAATACCCAGGTGCACAACTTCACATGCTGATGAACGATCCCATAAAGTTTCATTGAATTCCAGCCATTAGTTGCAGAGAACTACTCCGGAAACGAAATTCGGACGTTTTACTAAGTCAAGGGCAATAACTCTAAAAATACTAAAAATATCCAGACGAAAATACCCAGGTGCACAACTTCACATGCTGATCAACATTCCCATAAAGTTTCGTTGAATTCCAGCCATTAGTTGCAGAGAACTACTCCGGAAACGAAATTCGGACGTTTTACTAAGTCAAGGGCAATAACTCTAAAAATACTAAAAATATTCAGACGAAAATACCCAGGTGCACAACTTCACATGCTGATCAACATTCCCATAAAGTTTCGTTGAATTCCAGCCATTAGTTGCAGAGAACTACTCCGGAAACAAAATTTGGACGGACGGATGGACGGACGGACGGACGGACGGACAACGCCAAAACTATATCCCCCTCCCGATTCCATCGGCGGGGGATAATAAAACACAGACAAATTATTCCTTAACCGCCCGCCAGCATTTCAATTAGTCTCTTATTTCTATGATCAATGTACTAATCGGATGTGCTGAACATACGAAATCACTTGCAATTTGAACAACTGTGCAAATAATTGCACTTGAAGATTGTAAAAGAAACATCAGTGTTTTAGACATAGGCATAGGGAGACACAGGCAAATTTTTCAATTCTTCGTTCATCTTTCTGTAAACGTCCTCAAAATAAAAAAACTAGGCAGTCTTAGGAACAAATCATTTTTCCTTATAAAGAAGAAAATGCTGGTTTCCTAACTTGACCCGCGTGGGTTAAGAATTCACATGAGTTGCCACAGTGAACTATGGAAACTTTAAAGAACATATCAAATGAATGACTTAGAATTATTTCAATTATTCAATATCCAAAAAATCTGTTATTGTAACTTCCAGGGTTTGTTCAAGTCACATGGCTTGATTTAAAAAAAAAAAACTCAGTGATTTTGTTGTCGGTAAATTTTGTTCAATACATCTAGATATATTTACGCTTCAAACCCAAAATAAATAGAATTTAAACAGAATTTCATGCTTGGACTTTAGAAAATGTCATTTTAGCGTGATTTGAATACATTTAATCATTTTGATATTTTTGTCATTTATTTGCCTGAGTATCCCTTTAATACACGTTCATATTTAGTGGTTTTCGTTGTCAACTCACATATGGTATTTTCTTGTCCACCAGCAATTATGTCACGATATCATTTTTGATAAATTATTTCTATAATTATATATATATATATATATATATATATATATATATATATATATATATATATATATATATATATATATATATATATATATATATATATATATATATATATATATATATATATATATATATATATATATATATATGTCTCTGAGGTACATAAATATTCTAAGGCTCAACCCGAAAACAAGGTAATTTCAGTTACGTTAGTTTTGCGCAAAATAGAAAATTTAAACATTAAGATAAAAATGAATGCTTTGCTTATGTTGAAACCAGTATACTGAATAAGAAGGTTTTGTTTTGACAAAATCTTAAAAGAAAATTATTTTTATCTGCTTATCTCCTTAACCTATTTTTGAGGGGAAATTATTGAAGGAGTATGTATGCGATTCTTGTTATTACCCTCGTGTTACTCTTTTTAACAAACGACTGTAATTGAAGATAACTTACAGTTATTGTTATGGTCTATTATCCACTTATTAACATCCTTCCTTTACAACCATTTATATCTAATATCCAAAGTTGAATTTAACATGCTTGTAAACTTTCGTCATACATATATGACAGACAACAACGCACTTTCCTAATAAAAAGTGGGACAAGTAACTGCTAATCCATAATATAGTATAGTTTAACTGTTTTCCGATAATGTAAAGTAAGAAGACAAATAATGACAGCGTATCTACAAGTTTATTTTTCTGTGCTATTTGAATACTATTAATTCCTCCGACGCCAGCTACAGAATGAATTTTTATTTCATTGATCAATGGAGTGTACGATATACAATAGTCGAGTTCTTGCAGATACAATATTATATGTACATGCACTATAATTTTAACATAGTTGACCACAACTGAGAAAGAAGTAATTTTGATGCCACAAGACAATATTACATAAATTCCTGTAGATGAATATGCAATCCTATAGATACTTGATATAGAAGATAAACAACAAAATATGTAAATGTTCACACCAACAATTTTACCATCAACTGTCTAGAAAATGATGCTTTGAAATTACAAATAATTGATAAAATCACTCAAATAATTATGTCGAAATTTTACTAAGAAATGCATTTAATCTTTCTATAATTCGTCATTAGTTTGTAATTTTTTACTGCATTTCAAAATAATTTGATCAAGGTCAAACAGTTTCCTATTGTTATTCGTCAATTATACCTCTTTAATTAATGTAAACAACAACGCTTTGGGGTTTACATGCAACAGAATTTCAAATCGAAAGTGAGCAAAAGAATACATTCCCATCCAGTCGATCATATACAGACTGAAATAATTGAAAGCATGCTCATCTTTTGATTGTCTAGTATTTCCTTTCAAACTGCAACAAAAGAGAGAAAAATAGAATCCCTAAGGAAAGCCCAGTCCAAAACTTGATATATTTCTAGTTCTATTTGACAAACAATGATACATTGTTCTAATTGTTAAATATTCATACTTGTAAATGTACAAAAGTTAAGCTATTGATTCTTTGTATTTACTTGAGGATTATTATTATTTGTATTCTGCCTGCATTCATTTATACAAATGTAATAGTTAAACAGGACACTAAAACATATTCTATTTTCACGTTTCATTCATTGATAGTAGAGGTATAGTTACATTAATAATGAAAATAAAAACAAATTCCTTTGTATTTGATAAGGGACTATCTATGCGTTTTTACAGTTTGGTAGTATTATAAATCTTTGCCATAAAATAGTTGCCACATACTTTTATGTACCGTAAAATATTATAATATAACTAGATAACTAGTGCCAATCAATTAATACAAATGGTTAATGTACAAATTGATCGGATTTCAGCATTTATTCTGCAACATCAATATATTTAACATGAGTAATTACCCAGGTGATGTACTCAACAATGCCAATGCGTCAACAAAAAGAGCAAATTATCATGTTATAGGATTGATTTGCGTTAATTTGAGGACAGGTTGAAAGGATACAATAGACATTTGTTGTACCATTTTTTTTAATCGTTCTTATAAATTTGGATATTATGGA